TTGTGATAATTCTTCAGCCAGTCGTCGATATATTGCCAATACCGTATTCGTTCTCGCTTATGGCAGAAGTTCGGGTTCCACTGACAATCACATCTGCCGAACTAATGGAAAGGTGCAGAAAACGGGTCGACAATCCGGCGGAGTTTGTTGAGATATTTGACGAGAAAGTGAAGCCGCCTAGTTTGCCGGAATCGCCAAAAGGGGATAAATTGCCACCAGAAAAGGTTTTTATTTTAATTTATTTAGTTGTACGGGCGATACAGAATTGTAATTAGACCTTAGTTTTAATGTATACAACTTAATGGACCGAAACATTGCTTACTATTATAACATTTTCACAAATTTCCTAATTTTCTCACCTTTTCCTTTTTTTTTCTCTTTATTTTATCCCTTATTATAACTTTTTTTTGGGAATACCTGGAGCAGTTTTTAATTCTCAGCTTAATTCCTTCAACTATGCGGTTAGCAACTTTTCCATTCGTGCTGCCACGCTTTGTTGCTGTTTTTTTGTTGGAAATGGGTGTCACATAATATATCAGATAATGATTTATGATTTTTTGTTAGAAATGGCGTAAGGAAGAATTGCATCACTATGATGCAACACCCCGATCCCTGGTTCAACCTTTGGACACCTTGCCCCATTAAAGTCCTGCAGTCTTAGTAATCTCTGACCAGTGGAGTATAAAAGCACTCCTTCCCATCTCTGGGATCCAGAGCTGTTTCCAGCTGCTCGAGGAAGCTACTTCCTATCCACTCATCCCTGTTCTGGGAAGCTTCGACTCCCCAGAACCTCACTACCCTTTTTGTATTGTCTTTTCTTATATTATTTTACGTCATATTACTTTAGTTAATTCATGTACTTATATATATATATGTATATATATATATGGCTAGATGTTTTCCACAAACACCTACACAAGGCACGCCACTAGTCTAGTTTATTAACTTTTAAGGTCGCGATAGTACTGACCAATGTGCCATTCATGGCTGGCGGTCAGCGAACTAGCGATTTTAATATTCGATTTGTCTCCTCAATGAATTATCGGGTACCACTGATGAAAGCACACTTGACAGGGTTATTTTAGCTAAAATTTACATATAATTTTCTGAAATATTTTCTTGCAGCTGCAACGTCAAACACCAGTGATTATTGTGGAAACGCGAAAAGATGCACACAGTGTTGAGCTGCAAAATTTCTGTTA